GGCCTCTTATCGAAGGAATTTCACTATAAACTAAACTTGTCTTTTGTTTGTACTGTTGGTGCATATATCAAATATTATATTTGTTTTGTAACTTGTATTTAAGGTCCAATTGTTTGCCATAAATTAGTGAATGATTTAACTGGTGTAAATTCAAGGATTAATATTATAGAGCAGTATAGTAAAGTATAGTAACTATTTTATATATTGGTTTTTATAACCAAACCGATTTTTATCCTAATTTTATTGTATTTATACAATCTTTGTCCAACAGAGGGAGACAGAGGATAGGAATTATTTGCTATGCAGTGTGCATTCCCACTCGAATGGACTGAATTGATAATCCTGTACAGTGTCAACATCAGAGATGAGGCCGATGTAGATCAGTGATAATCCACGTCGCTCCATTTATCACCGTGACTGATGGACGTTTCGTTTCATGCAAACATCACCTTGAGTGCTCGCTGCTCCACCAGCTGCAGTAGTCGTCTCATTTCATCAGCAATTAGCGGGTGGTGTTTTGTACCTAGTGGTGCAGTTAGAAAAGTGTTGTGTGGTGCTTCTGTTGCTGTTTTTTTAGGGCTTTTCAATGTTATTACTCTCAGATGGCACTGAATGAGCTTCTGTTAACAAACTGGTCACTGATGCAGAAGAACACTGCACCTTAGCTGCAGCACCGTCAGCAGGAGTTATCAGCTGTGGATCAGAACTTAGACTGGTTGTATGAGAAGGTTGGAGGACACGAGAACTAACACTATATTTGAATTCATATCTGCAAATGTATTTATTAAATAACTGAGGATTGCTGGGAAATAGAAGAAGAAGTGGAATGTTGTCAGGAATTAGCCGCTGGTTCTTAATGTTTGCTTTAAATACTGAAGGGGATAAATGATGCAAGAGTGCGAGACAAGAGGGGGAGACATAGGAGCATAATGAACCCACTTAAAACTTTTGCACAGCAGTGTACTGTATGTGTGTGTTGAGTGTGTACTCGTTCTCTGCAGTGTCGTGACAGAAACGTTACAAGTATAATAACTTGTGCAGAGAAAGTACAGGAAATCTGTTTCAGAAATACAAATACAATACAAAACAGCCCTTTTCTTGATTTTGCTGCTAGCACTTTCAATGCTATGCAATGTTTTATGTTGTTTCAGCACAGGGAAGAACACAGAGGTGGAGCCTGATGTAGGCGGAATGCTGCAGTTTGTGTGCTGCGTTGCAGTGAGTGAGAGTGAGGATGTTGTAGGTGATGTGCTACCATGTGTGACAAAAGACACCCGAGAGGGTGGAGTTACACCTGCCACTGGTGTTCTGCATTGCTGTGTGTGTGTGTGTGTGTGTGTGTGTGTAAATGAATTACTACAAAAGCTCCTGCCTGCCCCTCCCATCATTATATCCACCTAGTTGTACAATGTCAAAGTATGTGAAGAAAAAAAAGATTTTTTACTACAGTTTTTTTTTTTTTTTTTAGTTTACTGGTTTTCATTTTCTCAAATAACCAGTTTAAAACCTTCTGATCCCAGCTCAGACCACACTCACTGGTCATAGTGTGAATTATTGTTTTGTTTTCACCCTCATCACCGCTCAGTCCCCCCGCGGCCCCAAAGTTGTCCCAGGACCCTGCTGGCCAGTGAAGCGCAGCGTTCGAGTCAGGGTTCTCCCTAGGAGTCACAGGAAGGGCAGGCTCATTAATTATCTCTCCTTCTCCTCCCCTCTCCATTCTCCCATCACACTCTCCCTTCATTACCAGCAAGGTTAATCCCCCCTTATCTCCCAGTGAGCCTCATTTTTCACGGCTGCCGTTCCACGTCTCTCCCTCTTTCTCTCTCTCTCTCAGTCCTCCACCACTCTCTCTCCTCTCCGTGATACTTCTACTGCTGCCGCTCCTCTGTTTCTCATTGTTTTCTGCTGTTGCTGTTAATCACCCCAGATCCTCTCCTGTTTTCCACTCCTCTTCTTGCGTCTCCTCCTTTCTCGTCTCCTCTGCTGTGCTTACCTTGAACTGGCCATGGTGAGTGGAGAGAGTAGATCTATTACAGCTTATCACTAAAGGACAGGCCAACGCAGCACACCGGTGAAATATGGCTGCTGTCAGAGCCGCCGCTGAACACAACCTGTGCACAAGGCTCACAGAGCAGTAAGGACAGGAGTGGGAGGGGAGTAAGGGACTAGGGTGGGGGGCATGGGAGCCAGTATCAACCCTTTAATTCAAGTTAATGTTGAGATTTCCAGACCTGATGCTGGGCTGCTTGACAGTGATTTGACACACAATTAACCTTTTCTCCGTTTCCCCTCTGCACCCTCGTCACCTCTTTGGTTTTCAATCACCACCCCCACCCTCCCTCCAGGTCTATTTTTATGTGTCACCTGTCTCTCACCCTGACACAGTCTTATTGATTACGGTGCAAAAAGATTTGATGATGTTTAATCAGATAACCAATAGAATTCACTCTGATTCCCCAAGTAACACAATGTGACAAATTCACATCGTCACAAGACGAGGAGGAGAATGGATCCAGATACAGTAGCGATCTTGTGATGTTTTTTTTTTTTTATTCGAGTCCACTTCATGCACTGTAACATCCGTCCACGGCATGATCCATGTCTTCTCCTGCCGGCCTGTTTAAAGACCAGTGCCTTCTGCAGCAGCCAGTCTTAACTCACTGCTTTTATAGACCATTTCACCTTGGGTTCCAGATCATGGCAGCAAACAGCCAGTGGCTCTCAAACAGCGTGGAGCGAGTGAAGTGTTAAAGAGTGGGTGAGACGAAGAGGAGGCAGTAAATGAAAGAAGTCACCTTCGTCACTGCTCAGCTGTGTTCCGACGAAAACTTCTAACAAGTACATGTTGCAGGTTTGAAAAGAAAATGTAATGGAGACATTACAATGTAGGAAGTTGCCGTAACCATGGTTACCTGCAGAATCTAAGCCATTGTTGTCAGAATGATTGTACTGTAGAAATTAGTCAGGACCCTGTTAGTGCAATAACCTGATATATATAGATGTACAATTATGTACCACATATATACAGAGAAGCAGCTAACATGTCGGTCAGTGAACCAGTCTAGATCCACGGCTGTGTCAACACCGTGTTTGCTCTGTGTCGATGATAATCCCGGCTTTTCGGAGTCTCTGCCTCAGCACATGTGACACAGACAAACTGAAGCGGTGGACGAGTGTGACAGCTGTGTGATGGACAACGGGGCGTAAGCGTTTGACAAATGCTCTGTGAGAAGTCGCCGACGTGACAGTGTGACGACTAAAGAGCAGTTCAGCACCTCCAGACATGGGACAGCGCTCTGTGGTGTAGCAAATCAAACAGGTGAACAGTAGAATAGAAGCAGCTCAGGTGCTACAGTACAAGCCGTCGTCGATGCTCCCCGCCTCACTGGGCAATAACACATCTGTCTCTGAGTGTTGTTGTATTAGTATTGGTTCAGATGGGTTGCTCTGTGGAATTTAGTTGTTTTCCTCACTGTTTTCGGCAGGTGCTAGGCTTTGAGGATCAGGTTTATTTGGATGCTTGGATGGAGATTACGATTGATAGCAACAAAAAATGTGTTTAAATGTCAGTTTGAATCATTCTCTGTCTTCAAACCGTGACTCTGTGATGGACTGGTGACCTCCTAATGTCATCCCTGACCATCCCAGTGTGACCACCAGTAGCATAAATCAGCAGCAGATACATGACGTAATGACTGAATCAATCAAATGAATATACTTTGTAAATTATCTTTTCATTATTTTTCGCACATTTGGCATGGAACAAACCCACAAAAATGGCAAGCATGTGATGTTGACTGATGATAGAAGGAAGGAGGAGGCAGGAGATAAAAATATAATACAGATGTTGACAGGATTTATATTTGAAGTTCTTGGCTGTAAAGCATGAAGAGCACCTCTGCAGCACCATCACTACAAAACCAAAATAAATCTCTTGTTTGATCATGACAAAAAAAGAGATTATGTAAGAGTTTAAAATTCAAGTAATCCCCAGAGCTCTCCCTCCTCTCAGGAGTCACGCCACACATTCCCATTGTTTAATTGCAGTCCCTCTTGTCATGTCAAAGAGGGAGAGGAGATAAAAGCCGTGGGTCTGGCCCGGCTCGTGACACTGCTTTCATGTCTCTCTCTGTGTGGAGGTTGTAAGCCTTATAGTCCATATCAAAACAATCCAAATAATAAACATAACAAATGTGCACACACACATTAACACACCACGTGTACACAAGATTGTAAATCTAAGAGTAGTACTGCGCCATTTCCAGTGACTCACGACACAGTGCAAAAGGCTTAACATGAGGTGGGAGGGGATAAACAGCTCCCCTGATGTTCAGGCTGCTTCTCTGCTTTGAAAACAGATGGGAGCTGGAACAGTAACGCTTCCCCGCTCTCCTCCACATCTTCTGTTTGTGTGTATAAGGGCACTCTCATGTGCTATTGCAAGTCAGAGGCGGAAACCTCAAGATTATTAATGTTTTCTGATACGCCCACTGAAATTAAGGATAATCTGTTGCGGGGGAAGTGGGGTGAGAATTAGCTGGTTTTATCCAGCAGCACTGGAGTTCCACAGAACATCTTCTGTTATCAAGCTGCATCATGACTTGTTTTTTGCTTATCTATTTTAAGAGTTGGACAACTATTAAAATACATTTCAATCTTAAAGGTGTAGTTGGTAGTTTTTCACTGATATCAGTAACACCTGTCAAAAATATTAAAACTGCAAAGGTCATACTTCTAACATTTTGGAGGGTGGGCTAACTGGTTAAAGGGTTGTAACATATGACCATAAAGGTAGGAATATGTACATTGGAAACTAAACTTAACTTTAGAAACCATTGCCATATATAATGATTCAGCTTTAAAATTAATTCGTCATTGTGTTGAGTTTCCAGCCAGGATCGCTTTGAAAATAATTGTACTACAGCCAGAGTTTGTCAAAAACTTTCCAATCGTCAGACTTTGTTGCATATTGTTTGAAAATGTCCTTGTTTCTCTTACAGACCATAGTGCGAGGTAACAGACCACCCAAAGATGCATCCATTAACGGCCTGCTGGAGGAGTTTGATAACATCTCAGTGACGCGCTCAAACTCTCTACGCAAGGAGAGCCCGCCTGGTCCACATCAGGCTGGAGGCGCCTCGTCTAAACCCTCAGGCAGTGGTCATCCCAACGCTCCGGAGGAAAACGGATTTAACCACTACTACTCCCGCTACTCCTGTGACTTGGACACTTCCAGCAGCCGCTTCTCTCTGGATCCTAGTAAACCCAGCTTCTCCGTAGATGGGGAGTGGGCCGTGGGGAGGCATTATCGGTTCACCAAACAAAATGGACATTCACACCCCATACGCAGCCCTTTCTATCCGGACGCTATGCCTCAAAAGTCAGAGTACGGGAAACTGCCCCCGGACTACCACGCCTACCTGGAGAGCAAAGGGCGCTCAGGTGACGAGGTGGCCTCCACTGTGGGCAGTGGGGTAGGTTCCAGTGGATACTATAGGGCCTCTGTGGGAGGCTCGTCCAGCCAGGACTACCGGGACACTTCTGTTGGCACACCGTCACGTGCCTCGCTACACAGTGAGCAGATTAACTACCCGGACAGCGAGTGGAGCTACGGCGGCCTACGGGACGATTACGACAAGAGACCCAAGAGTTCTTATGTGGCACACACAAGCCCAACACCAGCTATTAGGCAGCGATCCCGATCAGGATCTGGGCTGCAAGAGCCAAATGTTCCCTATGCGGCCAGTGGGACATTCAAGAACCCTCCTCCGACCCATTCTTACAGCTCCTACACGTACCCTCGACTCTCCGAGAGCCTGGGTAACTCCCAGACCATGACAAAGGTAACACCACATGTTGTTTGCTTGACATTAAACGTCATCCTTCCTAATCCTAATATATAATATATATATATATATATATATATATATATATATATCAGCAGTAATGTATTAATCATGTATTTGACGCTGTAATTTTATGATGTTGCCTGACTAAGTTGCCGCTCACTGGCGCTGGTCACCTGTTTGTTCTCAAACGGTTTCAATGCTCCATTAGGTTCCTTATACAGAGTTGTGTACAGTTCTTCAATATCACGCTGTCACGCACACACACACACACAAACACAGAGAGTCCATGGAGCTGAGAGGAAAACTGGGTTTGCTGATGTAGATCCCAGGGTGCCGTGATGAAAAACCATTTAACCTGCATGCTTCAATAAATAGCCACTCAGAAAAAAATAGAATGCAAGAGAAGCAGGATTGGAAGTGATGCAGGAGAAGGTCATTTCATTTTCCCTTACCTTTATTATTGCCATTTGGAGTTGCTTTGCTTGATGTAGCACGTGTTTTTTTTTTTTATTCAAAAATGAACCCAAAACTAAATATAAGTGAAGTCTTAAAAAGACAAAAATGTTACTGGAGTCTTTTAGTGTGATATTCACACATTTGTTCTTATCACTGGAAATGTGGTTTAAATGAAGTGAGGCTGTAATGACTGCTGTATGTGGAGACACCTGGGTTTACAGTAGTATTAGTGGAAAATAAAATACCAGTCATGGGAGTCATGTGGCAGATTTAGAGTCTATTCTATTCTATACTATTCTTCTCAGCTCACGGACCCTGTAACAAACCCACCCAGCTATCCATCCTCTGCCTTTTCTTCCTGTTTCTTCATTCATCCTGCTCACACCACTGAGGTAAATCCTTCCTTTTTTTTCTCCCACTGTTGTTGGGAGCCAGTGGGGATGTAACAGTAGCTTCACTGCAGGCTTGGCCCCACGCACACACACACACACACACACAGAGAGAGAGGCAAACACACACTGCTTCTCTTCCATTTCCTTTTTGTTGCTTCTCCCTCTCTGTTTTGTGGCGAGCATGAGCTGGGTGCCGCAGCTCTCACTGACAAATTGATGTTGCGGCACTTTCCTTTTTCTGCAGCCTTAGCATAAAAACTGGCCGAACGATGTTCCACGGCGGAATTCAATTTCACAGTTGAGTTAGGTTGTTGATTACCCTGCCAAACTCAGATTAATGCACGTTTAACCAACATGGATCAGGAGACCCTTGGCTGACAGCCAGCCAGTGCTGGCCAATGATAGTGGGCCGGGAGGCTGGACCATCCCAGTGGAGACTCCTACCTTAGCGCACACACACACACACACACACACACACACACATACATACACCTGCCTTGAATGATTGATTAAACACACACAATGTAATTATACACCATTCTTACACATCACGACTCCACCTCCAAATCCTGTCTGTGCATAGTGTGTGTGTGTGGAAAGGAAACAAATGGAAAATAAATTGACTGTAGAATAAAAGAATGTTCTGGCTGAAGAGCAGAATCTGGAGCACGGACACAGAAGTAATCTGATGAAATTTCAATCCTAATGATTAGACTAAACATGTGTCATCAATGAAAATAAAGGCTATTCCTCAGAACAATTTGCAAATTGCTGGTCAAACAGACAACTAATTGTCATCATATATTTTTCCGATCATTTTCTCCGACCCAGTATCACAGTTACCAGTCTGCTCATCTGTATCCTGAGATTGCTTTTATGTTCATGTGTGAATGCATGAATTCCATGAGTCAAGTCTTTTAGCTGAGTCTTATGAATTGGCTTTTAATAGAGGTTTCTAATTTAAGCTCCGCAATCTGTACTTCAGCACAACTTTAATGGAGCTTAACATGAGACAGAGATCTTAGACAGGAGGTTTGTTGATGAATGGAGCACATTGAGGAGCTAATGATAAAGTATGACACTGGAGATGTGGACTGAACGGTCATTGTTATGATTGCTAAGGAACAGTGTAGCTGCACATTTTCGTATTCGATAGTGTTGGTTTGTGGGTGTGCATGGACATCCATCAATTTAATACAGTCACAAATACGATCAAAGAGTGAACAATGAATAGTGTTTTTCAATCTCAATTTATGATAAAAATATTTGACTTTCATTACAGGATGACAAATATTTAAAAAAAAAAAAATTTCTCCTCCAGGGAGATTATGAACGTCCATCACGTGACTGCAGCCCCCACGTTACAGGTGGGGAAACCTACCCCCGAGGGCCTATAAAGCTACCTCAGAGCCACACAAAGCCGCCCGGCTACCCTCCAGCACACCTGCCCTACCCGCCGCTCTTTCACCATTACAAGCCCTCGCCTTACCACCATCCCCCCTCACAGCCCAGCCCTCCGTACACCCCTCAGGTGCAGTATCCTCTCCAGGTTTCTGATGTAAAATAAAATAATAATGAGTCTTGTGGTAAGTCTATTATTAATAGAATATTCAGAGTCATAACTTGAGCTGTTTATTCAATTTCTTCAATTTGTTGTTTGGTGCTTAGAAATATTTTAATATCATAAGAATTCAAATATAAATACAGCACAAAAGTTATTGTATGTTTCCATTTAGGGGGCCTATTCGCAGCCTTCATCACCTTACATTCCCCCAGGGGCTTATCCTCCTCCATCCTGGGGGTCAAGCTCAGACACCCAACCCTCCAGAGTGTCCCACGAGCAATTCAGAGCTGCACTTCAACTGGTGGTCAACCCAGGTAGGGAAACAGGCGATAAATCTGGATTTATCCTCGATCTTCCAGATTGGTCCAGTTTCAGTTTTTCAGGGATTTGATTTCTACAACGTGTTTATATTTGGCGACAGGAGATCCTCGGGAATACCTGGACAGCTTCATAAAGATTGGTGAGGGCTCCACGGGCATTGTGTGTATCGCCAGCGAGAAACACAGTGGAAAGCAGGTGGCCGTGAAGAAGATGGACCTTCGGAAACAGCAGAGGAGGGAGCTGCTCTTTAATGAGGTGTGAGAAAACGACAGAGTAACTGCAGAGCACTGACATCAGCACTGTTCACGCTGCCAACATGCACAATGTTGTTGACATCTCTGTAGGTCACTTAGCACCTTATATTAGCATTTCATATGAAGCAGCACTACTCAACCTTACATCACAAATTTCCCCAGAAACATTTTTTTTTCTGTGAAAACTGTGAAACAGTTATTTAAGATGTCTGTGGTGCTTAATCATAATTTAAAAAATAAATATATTTTTTTTATCAGTTACTAGAGAGGTCACTCCCTATACTTGTGTTAAGTGATGACAAAAATAAATCATGCCATTATTAAATTTTATGGGAAGAAAAATGAGAATAAGCTTCTGTTCCATTTGATTTCTTTTGCACTGACACCATTTCCGTAATTAGAAAAGTGGAAGCCACTGAATAAATGCATGTATTTGTACAAACATGTAAGTGTGCACAGGCAACACAGATGTGAAGCTGCGGTTGATCACACAGGAACTAATCTGACTCCTGTAATCCTGTTATTTTCTGAATATAATCCTTTTATAGTTCTGCCAATGCAGGCTTTAATTAAAAAAAAAATGAAATAAATTCCATTAGAAATGTATTAAAATAATTGAATCCTTGCAGTATATCCTACTTGCTCAAAACAACTGTGCAGTGAAAGTGCAATTTCCACTGTGTGCTGTAGGTGGTGATCATGAGGGACTACCACCATGAGAACGTGGTGGACATGTACAACAGTTACCTGGTGGGAGACGAGCTGTGGGTCGTCATGGAGTTCTTGGAGGGCGGGGCGTTGACTGACATTGTGACTCACACCAGGTAATCATCGTGTTTAAAAGTTACTGAGATGTAAAGCATAACCATGATGTCAGTATCGAGGTACAAAAAGTTGTGATTCATGTTTTCCTAAATTGAATTTTCTGTCAGTGTTTCTTGAGTTTTGACACAGAAATGGATAACGCTGGAGTGGTTTGACTATTTTTATATTTATGTCTATGTCTTCTGGCATGGTACTCCGTGAGATTTAACTCCCAGCCACTGGTGAAGATTGTTTATTTGTCGATGCAGGTCTGAGCTGCTAGTAATCAAACTGAAGCACATTCTTCCACTTCCTGGGTTGATGTATGGATTCAGAGGGAATTGGCCAACGGTTCGTTACTCAGCCAGTGGTTTTAATAGTTTGAAGATTATTGTTCTCCAACTTTTCCCTAATTGCATTTCTGTTGTTGAGTGGTGTGCTTTTCCACCACCTCATTGTTTTAAGTTTACTTTGTGTCTGGTGTTTAATTACAGTCATTTGCGTGGAGTGTCAGCATTAGCACTGTGCAGTGTCGGCTGTTAATAACACGCTTTAGTGGAGCCTCCAACAGTTCCTTTACAGATTTCTGCCTCGTCCACGGTTCAGTGTAATGTCTAATGTAGAATCTGTATATAGAGTTGAATAAATAAGATGACATTGACTCATAATAGATTTTCATCTTCACATACTTGCAAATATCCCCCTCCAGGGCCCTCATTTAATATTGCACATTATATTAACATTCAGTGGGTTTTTTTCCTGGTAATTTCAGCTCCATTTGTCCAGGTAGAAGCTCGGTGCTATTTCTGTTTCAAGCCTTTTGTTGTGGAAATGAGTGTCTTCTGCATCGTGCAAGCTCCATCAGCTCGCTGGATTGTTGGCAACCAGAACACACACGATAACAAATATATACCTTTTTGGCACGTCGGCTATTGATAGCATTAATATACTATACTAACAATTTGCACACTCATCAAAACACAAAATAAATTAGCAGTAATGTTAATTAATAATTAGTAATTCTCCTCCACACAACCTTTAAGGCTCGTTTGATTGTTTTTACATCTGGGATTGAAAGAATTTTCGAGGAATGACAGAGTGTGTGTTCGGAAAGTGAACACACTCTCTGTCACGACTTAGCCAGTGGTTCTTCCAGAAGCAGAAGGCTCATCAATTCGTCGTGATTGTAAACGCACGCGTGTGTGACAATGAAATCTGCCGCAGTGTGAGGTGTGCAGGTTGATGTGAGTGTACGTGTGTGGCTGCGGGGGGGGGGGGGGGGGGGGGGGGCCTCACCACTACATAATGTATCTAAGTGGTTCCTCTGTTAGATGGAGGTGAATTAAAGTGACAAAAGTGAGCAAAATGTGTGTGTGTGTTTGCTGTACACACGTCAGAGTTTTCATTTCTTTATGTTCTGCAAAAGAAAGTGCCTCCATTTCTGCACACATACATGCAGGGCCAGCTGGGTGTAGATGTTAATGTTCAGTCAAGCTGGGAGTTCCTGTGAGAGCAGACACACTGCGTGGCCTTGTCTCTCCATATGGGACCCTCATGCTCGCTGTGCACATCAGAGCTCCAGTCGCTGCAGGCTACAGGAGGGGGGGGGGTGGAATTTTCAACCCGGATTTCTGCTTTTCATCAGTTGTGTTGCGTTGCACTGTCATCGCTTTAGGATGACAGCAACAGCCAAGTCGTTGACCAGATTGTGTGTTGTTTGTTTGATAATCAATTGTAATTTCTGTCTCCATGAGTGCAGGATATTTTTTTTTATATATATAATTTATTTTTGATTTATCATCTTTGAAAAAAACCTTGTACAATAGTGACATTTCCTTAATTATCACCTAACACTGGAAACACATCGAACAAAAATAAACATAAATATGAAAAGGGATAAAAAAATAAAGAACTAAGAAAATACGTACATGTAAAATATCAAAATAATAACTGATATTTTGAAACGTACACATGAAACATATGGAAATTTAGTGTGATTTGTGTAATCTCTTTTGTCACATTCTTGTGTGTATGTGTGTGTTTTTTCCTTCCAGGATGAATGAGGAGCAGATTGCTACAGTGTGTCTGTCAGTGCTGAGAGCTCTGTCCTACCTGCACATGCAGGGTGTCATCCACCGCGACATCAAGAGCGACTCCATTCTCCTGACTAGTGATGGAAGGGTAAGGGCTTATGCATGTATACTTAAGTAAAAAAAAAAATAATAAAAATTATTTGGAACAGCATTTTGAATAATAATAAGTTCACTGGGGGAAATAATAAGTCATCTTTCTTTTCTCACACCTACTGACCTCCCCGGTGACTCATCATCCATTTCAGCTGGTGCCGCTGTAATTGAATCCAGACTGATGTCTCCAAACGAGCTGAGAAGACATGATTAATCTAATTCATTTTGTTTAATTGAAGGATAATCAACCACTAATACAAGGATTAGTGTCTTACGTGGAAGCCCGTTATTACAACTGGACGGTCACTCTTTTTGACTTCAGACGCACAGGGACTGAACTGAAGCTGCCTCAGCTGGAGGTCAGGACTCCCACGTGAAACACCGTTGGTACTGAAGGCTCTGTGTTGTCTGTGTGGTTGCAGATCAAATTGTCAGACTTTGGCTTTTGTGCTCAAGTTTCCAAAGAGGTGCCCAAGAGGAAGTCTCTGGTTGGTACACCCTACTGGATGGCACCAGAGGTCATCTCCAGACTGCCTTACGGGACTGAGGTGAGGATCATTCACAGCCACACACTGATAGATATTTCTGGGTTAAGCTGTGGGGTAACAGATTACACAAAATTGAAGTAGAACAAAATATCTATTGTCATTCATTGTTCTCCTGATAATAAAATGTCTGTTGTGTGCACAGGTGGATATCTGGTCTTTGGGTATCATGGTGATTGAGATGGTGGATGGTGAGCCTCCATACTTTAATGAACCTCCACTGCAGGCCATGAGGAGAATACGAGACAACCTGCCTCCACGGCTAAAAGAATCACACAAGGTAGTTTTTACAAAATGTAATTTCAACAAAACATTTGTGTCTTCCTTCCTGTTTAACACTCCTGCAAATAAAGTTTCAAAAGATAAGTTTATGGCCAAAAATGGCTGACTGGTTGGATGGATGGATGGGTGGTTGATGGTTCCATGAAACCGACAAGAACAATACTCTGAATCTGAAGCAGCCCTGTAAAATACACGCATAAGTGATTCCTAAATGTGCATGTAGAGGTCGTAACAGGACAAAAGTTGAAGTGTCTCTCTATATCCTGTAGGTGTCCTCGGTGCTGCGATCCTTCCTGGACCGGATGCTGGTGAGGGAGCCCACACAGAGGGCCACAGCCCAGGAACTCCTTCAGCACCCCTTCCTCAAAATGTCCGGTCCTCCTTCCTGCATCGTCCCACTGATGAGACATTACCGCCACCGCTGACATTCTGTCCCTTTACAAGACTAAAAACACCTACATGGCTATTGTATACACACTACCAAGGTGGCACTGCCCTCACCAAGCTAAACACACCACCACATGGTGATGCCCCACTAACACTCACACCTGTAACTGTGTCGTAGATTAGTTTAAGGAATATCTAAGATAATACATAAAACACACACACACACACACACACACACACA